TTTTTTTATTTTTTGCTTCTTACTTTCTAACAGATATTTGCCACCCACATGAAAGATGGCTTTCACCTTCATATATCCCTTCTTTGTGATACAACTGATTGTATTAACTTGTTTTGGGCTTTTTGTTCATGCAAAATCATTGCTGGTTCTCTGAAGTGTTTTAACTGCAATATATTTATATTTTGTATAGAGTGCTGGTGTGCAATTTCCTCAAAGGGATCGTGTGGTGAAATCAAATCATCCTAGCTCACAACCGACTAAGATTAGTAACGTACTGAACAGGGAGTGGGGCTCACCTAGGGAAGAGGGAGTTGCTCAGCAAGTAGAGTCACAAGCGGTTCCTGAATCTAGGTGATTTTTGCTATCTAGTTCTAGTATAATATGACAACATATTCAGTAACCGTTTTATAGCAATCTCATTTTCCATACACTATATAGCGAACTTGCATTTGGTCAATAATAGAGCCCTCAACGTTCCTGACCCATTGTTTTGAATTGGATAATTATGAAAGAAATTTTTATTGCTGTAGAAATTATGATGGTAAGAATCAGGAAAGCTTCCTACTTTGAGGCCAAGTGAAAAGATTGAAAAGAGAACAACATATGTGGGGAGCAAAGGTGGACATGTTATGTTTCGAATTTGATAAAGATTGAAAAATGCCAAAATTTAATTTTGGGTGGATTCCTTTTCTCTTTCTTGTGGATTTTGGTGAAATCTAGGAGGAATTGAATTGTGATCTGGGGACCTCTATAGGGAACTGGGAACTGTTGGAGAAATACCCTTCTAGAAAGTTTGTTCTTATTGCCATTTTCTTCTGGCAAAGTACATGACTTAATTCAACGCACGTCTTGCAGTATTATTCAAAAGGCGAGTAATGCATTAGAGGTTCTGAAAGAAGTCCTTGATGCTGTTGATGCTCAGCATCCTGAGGTATGCCAATGATCTGTCACTCCCGAGAATTTGTCAGACATGTGCACTTGTTCTGTAAGTTTATTATAATGACTTCAGCCATGCCTTTGTCATCTTCTTTCTTTTTCCTTCTTGATGCTGATGCTATTATATCCAGCAGTTTCTCCATGGGAATGCAATGAAATACTTAGCTTGTGCCAAAATTTGTAGGCACAAGGCAGAAAACATGATTACAGGCCGTCTAAGATACTGAGATAGCTGCCTTGTCCAGAAGTGTCTCAAAGTGTAGCTGTTTTATTTTTAACATCTTCTCGTGTAGCAATGATGCTAAAACTATTTTCTTTTTCTTTCTTTCTTTCTTTTTAATTTCTTTTAGGGAGCAAGGGATGAGTTCACCCTTGACCTTGTAGAACAATGTTCATTTCAGAAGCAAAGGTTAATGCATCTTGTGATGACTTCTCGGTGAGGACACAAGGCTGCCTTAAATTTCTCATTTCTGCTTTTGGCCTATATAGAGAGAGGCTTAGGTTTATGACCTGTATGCCACGGATCATTGGTATTAATTCTGAGGAAGAAAACATTGCTATTTGCCCGTTTCATTGAATTATAGTTATTTATAACTTGAACTGCTTTTGTCCCTTGTTTCTTTGGTAGAGATGAGAAGATAATTTCTCAAGCGATTGAATTAAATGAGAAGCTTCATAAAGTTCTTGCAAGACATGATGACCTTCTTTCTGGTGGGGCTACAGCAACTGCTAATTGTTTGGGCCATGAAGAACCAGAGGAAGAGGAGGCTGAACAACTGTTTCTTAGGTGCCTTGCTTGTTCAATTCCCCTGGCATTATTTGATTTCGAATGTCCCTTTATCTCTGATTATGTCTGGCAGATTACGGAAAGGGAAGGCTTGTGTAAGGGCTGAAGATGAAGAGACTGCACCCCATTTTCCGCACTTGGGTTTGCTTGGAGAAAGACTGAATCGTCCACTAATAAGACCACTCTCTCTGGAGCCTTCACGAGAAGTTAGTCCTCGTTCTCTTGCTGCTACAATTCCGCCTCCTCATGGAAAGGGCGTTGACAGAGAGCCGCCTCTTGTTGCCATTCCACCACCACCTGCAAAGCATGTTGAGCGTGAGAGATTTTTTCAGGAAAAGAAAACGGATGGTTCTCCTCTGGCTGGGCACATGAGGGGCCTCTCTTTACATAGTTTAAATGGAAGCAGCTCTCACAGTGGAAGCTTTGATTCCAGTGACTAGACTTCTGGAAGGGCTTCTTTTGAATTTTATACATCCCTACTTTATCTTTTAATTTATCTTTTCAGTGTCGAGTTTCAGTTTTATGCTGTGAGATTTGAGGATGCTGATTTCTGATTTAGTCTTGGTGGGTTATGTTATAAGGAGGGAGGGACATATCCTCTTGGGTTCATAAAATGGATGTGATGGTTTTTTGAGATCATATGTCATGACCTGAGATTTGTAATTATTGCTAATAGATGCATGTTTGATCAAGGCCATTTATTTTCTGATTTGTTGGCATCTGTGACCCCAAAAAAAAAAATCCTTTGCTCATAAAAAAACCAAAAAAAAAAAAAATCCTTCCTAATTATTCGTGCAAAGTCATGCCATCTAGTAGGGTTTGCCTTAGTCTGGATGCTTTTTGGTTGTGTTTGGTTTGAATCGAGTTTGTGTGAATGCTTTTTTTTTTTTTCTCTTTTTTTTGTGTGGGAAAATTTCAGGGAGAATGTCTTGGTCCAATTTAATTTCAGTGAAAGTTCCTAAAATTCTAAATTTTCATTGTATGTGGGGGATGAAAGTAAAGTTAAAAAGTTAACTGAGATGACTTTAGAAATCAATAGGCTACATGTGGAAAATTAAACAAGTGTTGTAGGTAAAATTTAAAACAGCACAATATTTATGAATATAAATAAGTGATGTTAAACATATAAATAATAAATAAGTGATGTTAAACATATAAATAACATATAAGGAAAATGAACAATTGATGTATGGAAATAAACAATTAATGTTGGTGAATGAGAGTTACAAATTCATGGTGATGTTATACTATTAATAAAAGTTGTAAATTCTGCATATTTAATTGTTTATTTTCATTTTTTCTATATAAGTTGTTTATGCGCCTAGTTTTATCAGGATAATAAAGTCATTTTAATCATCTCTTCAATTTTATTTTATTCCCCTATATTTGCAGTGAAATTTTAAAATTTTAGAAATTTTAATTAAAATTAAGTTCAGTCAAAAGATCTTTAATAAAATTTTTTCTTTTTTTTTTTCTTATTTTATGAATAAGAGTTACTCCTCGTATTTAATACAAGTCACAATTTTTTTTTTAATTCTAAATGCAAGTCATCGTGCAAAAAGTCATTATTATTAATTTTTTTTCACAAATATTTTTTAATTGTGTTTTTCCAAAAATGATACAAGAAAGAAATTAAATGCAATTAATATAGGTTATTTTAATTAGATGATAATCTTAAAAAAGTAATGATTATTTTTGACTTGACAATTTTAAGGATCTGAATTAATTAATTTTAACTATTTTTTAATTCATATGAAATAGTTGAATTGCTCATATTAAGTGCAAAAGGCAGTAGCTGAAGTGTAATTTCTAGACCTTGGTCCTATTGTTTCTCACATTTATGTCAACGATCATTTTCTAGACCTTTGTCCTACTGTTTCTCACATTTATGTCAACGATCATTGTCTTAATTTTTCCAAGCATAAGAGGGCGCAAACGACAGAACAGTAAAAGAAAGAGCAAATAAATATGCAACCTGGGCTATATTGATGCCTTTTTAATTTTTCAGTTAATGTTTTCATACAAAGTAATTTGTTTAATGTTTAACATTCTTTTTGTCGATATTGAATTAATTATTCAAAATATAATTAATTATGTAATTTGATTTGACAGCGATCAAACAGATCGAGTGGACTTACATGCGGGAATAAATCAATGCAGTTGGTAGGTAGAAGGAAGCACATGCTAAGGAAACGACGATGCCACCAGATTCGATACTGACCAGTTAAGATGTCTTCTCCCTCTCACTGCTCAAGGTAATTCTTGCTTACAGTTTCATAATCATACTTGACAATCTAGATTTTGTACGAGGTTATTGCTTACCAGGTTACTTCTGCAGGAATAGGTAAAATCCTTAATTATTTCTTCATTTTACTCTTAATTGATTTCAATTGCAGAAATTGACACTGCTCTTTTTGTGTTTTAAGCACAATAGTTGTTCATCATGGTTGTGTCTAGATTATATGTATTTTAAATTATGAAAATTTTATAATTAATTATAAAGTTATATATTTTTTAACAAAAATATAAAAGTTCTTAATTTCATAAAAAAAAATGAAAGATTTTTAACCTTTACGAATTAACAAACGGAAAAACTTATATATTTAATATACTCTTGTCTAATTAAATAAAGACATGTTGACTTTGATGTGTTGATAATATTAATAACAATAATTTGTTACAGAATAAGTAATCTATAAAAGATACATGTCTTGATTTAAATGAAAATAAACACCTTAGGTATATAATTTTTTTTTAATGAAGGGTTTGATCAAACTAAATAAATTACAAGATCTAATTCAAAATTGATAAAAATTATAAGAACTTGTAAATTTTTTTTCCTATCTTTTGATGTAACAAAGCTTACAGTAAGATTAGTTTAGTTGATAAAAATTTAACTCATACTACTTATAAGGTCATAATATCAAATCTCATTATTAATATGGAGACCTTATTGATGGGTAATCTATACGTATTTTTACAAATATTCTTCAAGTTTAGAGACCAAACTCACCTGATTTTTTTCTTTTTTGTTATAAAAAAATTATGGTAAGGTTAATTTGGAAAATATCTTCTTACGGATTTCAATAGTTGTTTGTGTATATACATTGTGGGATGGTGTATCTGATAGACTAGTCCGATCTTTCTTCTCCTTGCTTGACTTTTCTTACGATTGCTCGTCTTAATTACTTCACTGTTGTGCGTTTCTTATAAATCTTTCTGGCAAAAGAGAGATCTGATTTGACCTCGTCTTCTTCCCTGTGCTCTGCAGAAATAAAAGAATAGTTCTGTATCCAGCTCCAAGTTTTGCTCACTTGGTCTCCATGGTTGGATTCGGAAAGCTTATCTTGCAGCATCAACCGCATTTATCCATTGTCATCTTGGTCCCATCCATGCCTTCTGCTCATACTTCTTCTTCTTCATCATACATCAGTGATCTCTCTGTGGCTGGAATTCCCATCTCTTCCTTTCTCTCCCTTCCCTCCAAGTTACAGTCTATGATTCTGTCGCCATGAATGCTCTCAATGTTCTTGATGCCCTAGAAACTTTATCTTCCTCCTTCACCATTTTGGCTCTCGTCACCTCAGCTCCTCATCAGAACTTGAACACCCACATCCCCATCTTCTGCTACTTCACTTCATGTGCTTCTGCTCTGGCTTTTTTCCTCTACTTACCCACCTTCCATAGCCAAACCACTAAAAGCTTCACAGATCTCAGAGAGACTCTCTTGGATTTTCCTGTTTTGCCTTCTCTCAGTGCTTCTAACGTCCCTGAACCTGTGCTGAACCGAGAAAGCCCCTCCTACCAATTTTTTCTGTGTTTTGCTTCTTCTCTACTGAAATCCAAGGGATTGATAGTGAACACCTTCAATTTTCTTGAACCACGCACTGTTCAAGCTATAACAGATGGTGATTGTGTCCCAAATGATCAAACCCCCCCAATTTTCTGCATTGGTCCATTGATTACGAGTGCTAAAGATCATGCTATTGCCAGCTCAACTTCTGATTATGATGAAGCGTCCAATTGCATGGTATGGTTAGATAAGCAGCCTAGTGAAAGTGTTGTGTTCTTGTGTTTTGGAAGTAAGGGCGTGTTCTCTGAAGCTCAGATAAAAGAAATAGCTATTGGTTTAGAAAGGAGCCGCCACAGATTCTTGTGGGTAGTGAAAAGTCCTCAGGGTCTGAACACAGAACCCAAATTGGATGAACTGTTACCGCATGGTTTCCTAGAGAGAACCAAAGAGAAAGGTCTGGTTGTGAAATCATGGGCCCCACAGAATGCAATTCTCAGGCACGAATCAGCTGGTGGGTTCGTGACACACTGTGGTTGGAACTCAGTGTTGGAAGCAGTGAGCTATGGTGTGCCAATGGTGGCTTGGCCACTGTACGCAGAGCAGCATATGAACAGTGTGATTTTGGTGAAGGAGATGAAAGTGGCACTAGCAGCAAGGGATGGAAGCAGAGAAGGGTTGGTGAGTTCAGATGAGGTAGAGAGAAGAGTAAGGCAATTGATGGAAATGGAAGAAGGGAAAGTTATGAGATGCAGGATTTTGGAGATGAAAGCCATGGCCATCAATGCTTGGTGTTCAGGTGGGTCCTCTTTAAATGCATTCATTGACTTGGTGAGCTCTTGGAAGCGTGGTTGACCAACTTATGCTTACCCTTCACTGAATTTGTCCAACTTCATTTTATTTATTAATGATCAATCATCAAACGGTGCCTTGGGAGAAACCGAGAGAGAAAGTAGCACAATGGATTACCCATTCTGGACCTGTTTATCTTTCTGTTTAATTAGAACGTTCTTTTTCAAGAGTTATTTTGTTTTTTTGTTTTTAATGATACCTGAAACTGTATTGTAATAAAGAACCCAAAACATTTAGTTCACATACATAGTTTGATTCTTTTTGCCATCGACCATCTCAGCATCCACCACCGCCCTCTAATAGGATTGGGGTTGATCAAAAGCACAAAAACTTTCTATATTGTCTTAGACATACTATTTGAAGAAACAAAGTTAATAGGATGTTTCTCGCATTAAGAATGTTTGAGACTCCAAAAATGTTATGCATTGAGTTAAAAGGATGTTGGAAATTCCAAAAATGCTATGCACCTCGTCTCGATGTTCTATTAGGCCATCTATTTCAGCTTATTTTATGAAAAAAATTATTTATTTATTTAAAAAAATCTATTATACAAGTTTTATAATGTTTATTTAAACTTTTAAAAATAATTGAAATAAATAAAAAAGCTTTTGAGTATTTTAAGTAACCATTTTGAGTAACTTTTGAAAATGATATGATCCAATAGATGAGAGATAATATTTTAAAAATGTGAGATACATAAAAATATCATAAAATTTTAAAATAATAAATTATTTTTATAGAAAAAAATAAAAGAAGATATCATAATATTAAAAAATAATTAACTAATAATCACTATTTATTATTATAACAAACATAAAATAATGTTTGCGTTTTTATAACATATCTATAAAATAATCTCTTTTCATAAAATTTATAAACTATTTAAAAATAAATTATTTGTTTAATCTTAAATAAATGGGCCCTCAGTGTTGATTTTGATTCCCTTGAGCTTGTTGATCCCACAAAGAGTTGATGATGACTTTTTTTTTAATCATTCAATATCATAACTTAAATAATCCAAACTTGCTATGCCCGTGTGAGATTATTATTATCAATATTGGCCTCACAGAAACTTCAAGATGCCTTTGACATATTTATTTAAAATGATTGCAGAATGCATATCCTATAACTTGAACCCAAGACTCAATAATAAGCTAATTCAATTCCTTTAATCAATTTTGTGAAAAAATTGAATTATTATTTGAAAATCTCAACTAAAACTTGAAATTCAGAGCATTTTAATCTAATTTGGAATGCAAAGTTTTTTTTCTTTCATTCCAATATTTTAGGTCTTTGACCCAAATACAAATTTCCATTATAATGATTAACACCATAATGTTAATCATTCCATATCAAAATTGAACCCAAGAGGTCTGAGCCCTCACTTATGAGATTTAGCTAATATAATTTATTATTAATTTTATATTATTTTAGTCTTAAAGACCAACAAAACAAGTACACTTACATAAAAAAAAATCATCAATCTATATAACATGCATTGTGAATTATTTAGAAATAAAAGAAAATACTAACCCAAGAAAAAACGAAGCCAATTACTTTAGAACAAGTATTGGAAAATCATTCATTTATACTAACTAAGGTTAACACGATTGGTAGGTATTCTTGTTATTGAAATATTTGTTTGGGGTTTGAATATCAAATATCAGTCCTTATATATGCAACAATTTAATTGGGAGAGATCTATCATTTACTCAATATCTTTTGGGGGGGTAACTTTTATTGTTGGTGAAGTTTACTCCTTCCATCCCTAGAAAGAAATCATTCATTTGTGTTCTCCTAGTTTTGGGATTCGAGTTTGAAGCGCCATGCTCCTTAAGGATTTGCTAAGTGTGCCGAAGAAGTAAATCTTTGAGATGAGTAGTTAGATCAAATGATTGGATGAATTTTTAAGATTATTTACCACAATTTTCCTAGAGTACCAAAGTGAAGTAAGAAATTAAAAGTATGATGGAAGATGCTCTAGTTAAACTTTCATTATTGGTGTGTAAGAATGAGGAAAAGATAAAGTGAAAATAGTCTAGGAAAACCTAAATTATATTGACAAAGAGGGTCATGTTGGGAGAATTTGGAATGACATTAGGTGAAATTTTGAGTATTGAGTGAGGCAAGTTGAGTTAATTGTATTGATTGTGCATAATGTTGAGAGAATTTCAATTCATGCTCGTTATTTATTTATAAAAACTGAAAAAAAATCAAACTTTGGCACCAAAAGGAGCTAGTAACTATTTGCGTAGTTTGCTGATAGTGCACCTTATTGTGTAGAGAGGCATGGGTGAGTGCTCCGTTTACTTTCGCCAGCTCCCTAAACGCGGCGCTTCATTCAGTTTTGTCAAGGCCGGCTATCTGATGGGCTCATATCTTGTATAATTTATATTGGGCCTCGCCCAATTCCTCCCTCAAGCCCAGTGCACCAAAACCAGTCCAAACAATTTGGGAGTGGTTATAATTTCTAATGTCATCAAACATGAGATAGAATTTTGGGAGGATCGATATTATGATTATATTTATAACCAAAATTTGTTTTTCTAATGATAGGTAAGTATAACGTTAAAAAATTATACGAAATCCAAGAGGTGTAAAATTTTAAACGTGTTAATCCATTTTTCTATAAATTTTAAAAGTGTTTTTGTTTTGCAAAAATTAATCATTCATTATTAATTTTAACTTGAGACTAATACATTTAATCGACAAATTATAAAGGCATGATTGAAATAAAATAAATTAAAGGGCCAGATATCAAAAAGTTGGACAGAGAATAAGATCAAAGAGCTTAAACAATTAACTAGCGATTGAAATATGTTAAAAGTAATTTATAACTAAGATTAAAGAATGAGTACATGTTAAAAGGAAAATTAATCAAATTTGTCATGCGGAGTATTCAATCAAGTCATTACAAAAAAAAAATAATTCAAATTAATTTATTATAGATTATATGAGTATAAATTATTGAATGAATTTATGCATTGCACCGGGGTTTTTTCTTAGATTTGTATAATATTTTTTTTATATTTTATGCATGTGATGGTTTAAGAAACTATGTTTTAAATTAATTTAAAATTGAGAGAAATTAATTTTCTCTAACTTATAATATCATAAAACAATTTTTTTTCGAGGGTATAACGTTAGTAATTATATGAAATCCAATTGACGTGTAAGGAAAAATTGAACGGTGTACATTATTTCCACGAGAACCCAACCTCGGCCTTTGATTCTAATCATCTAAACCTGCGAAGTATTGCGGAATAACCGAGATAGATAACACGCTTCACAATATAATGCCACGTGGATTCACTCTGCGTCTCAGAGTTTTTCTCACATATACCCACACAGCCATCGGCCCATCGCAAAAACCATTATCTCTAGCAGCAGCTAGCAACACCAGCCTCCACAGCTCGTCCAGACCACAATGGCAACCTCCACCACCGGCGCCGTCGTAAACAGCTCCTTTCTCGGGAGACGCCCTACCACAAGCCTCTGGTCTGCACCTAAGCTTCAGGCCGTGTTTGGCGTTGGAACAAAGAGCAGCCGCCGTGGCATCCGAGGGCGCGTGACGTGCATGGCGGCGTTCAAAGTGAAGCTGCTAACGCCAGAAGGCCCAAAGGAATTCGAATGCCCTGATGACGTTTACATTCTGGACCAAGCCGAGGAGGCCGGAATCGATCTTCCGTTCTCGTGCAGAGCAGGTTCGTGCTCGTCGTGCGCCGGGAAGGTTGTGGAAGGTGAGTTAGACCAGTCCGATCAAAGCTTCCTGGACGATGACCAGATTGATGGAGGCTGGGTTCTTACTTGCGCGGCTTACCCTCGATCTGATGTTGTGATTGAGACCCACAAGGAGGAGGACCTCGTTGGTTAAGCATTGTTCATGTTTGTATGACTACGAATCATGAATGAATATATATATTGTATTGAAATGTTGTCTTGTTTTGTCGCTTTGATTAAGAATTTTCTTGTAGTTTAATTTCTCTCTCTGAGTGAGTCTGGATGATCAACAATTCATGTTATAATAAATCTGCTTTACTTGTTTTTATATGAGCTCATTTTTCACAGGATTATTGAGGAATTCCATCATTATACACACACATATATATATATATCATCCGGTGATTTCAATGATGTCACGATTAACTGTGAAATTTAACTTTGAATTATGGTTGAACGAAATTCAAAACTCTTGTATACATAAAGAATGCTATTATGTTAAGTTCGGATTTAAGGGAATTAGACTTGAACCAAATCCATATTTTATTATAATTTCTTTACAATTTTAAATCTCCTATATTCTAGTTATTTGAGGATTGAAATGTTGGCCATTCTAATCTTTTCATTCTCGTTCTATTTTCATTTCTTATTTTCCTTTTTTGTTGTCTTAAAATTTAAATTTTTTACATTATCCAAGTAAAAGATTTTAAATATAAGAATTTTAAATTTGAAATTTACTGATCCACACTCTGCCTCGAGTTTTTCTAGCTAGTACCCGCGGAGGATTGCTGCGAGTGCAATAAATATCTCGTGGGAAAAAGGCACGTTTCATGTAAGGCAATGAAGTGTATTGAATTGAACCTGTGTTAAACTTAATGACTAATGAGCCACGTTCATGTCAGATATATCTATTTCCTTCTGCAGTTTAACATGTTTTATATAAAAACTATTTCTATAATTGCTACATTCCCATGAAACTTGCCATTCGTTCTCGAGGTAGTAGAACTGAAATAGGAGTGTTTACAGTTCTGTAAACCAAACACAGCCCAGAGTTACTAATCCACGCAAAGGGGCTAGTTCTGGTCATTTTGATCATGCAATTTATTACCTGTGTCGACGTACCAAAGCTCCCCTACAAGGTTTCAACATTATCTTTTAATTTATCATAACATTTCAATCCACACATGAATTAAAACTGGCCAACCTCCTCTTTGTTCCTTTATGTTTTTTCATTAGTAATCATTTCAAGAATCAAAGAATGTGGAGGGAAAGAAGATTGAAGCATACAGCTTTACTTATTTAAACTATAAACCAATAAGTTAAATATTCATGGGGAATGGATACAGCAGCGTAGCGTCGACTAATAATTCCTATAGCAGCCGTGTAGGTTTCCCAAGTCACGAAACCCAAATGGCAATGCTTACAACAAAACTTAACTTTCTATAAACACAGGCATTTTGTTACAATTTTACTATACATTTCTCCTTTTCTCTTTCTTTTCCATCCACAAATAACGCTGTGCTTAAACTTGACTTGGTAAAATCAACACTTGATCTCCAAGTAGTGCATGATGGACAGAAGTGATGTTCATATACGAACAAAACCAGACTCCATTGCCTTTTAATGGCGAGGGGGGTTCGTTCACCGAAACAAGGGCAATATTCCCCACTGGTGCAGAAACCCCTCACCGGTAGTGACTTCTAGAAACAACAGAAGAAGCACGGCCAGCATCGCTGCTCTTCCATTCCATGTTTCAGCACTTTTTGTCCAGCCCCATTCCCAAACCATTACCGGTGGGGGAAGCTCCCGGCGTTGAGAGTCATATGCTGCCAATAACTCTTCCACACTTCCCAGTGGAACCAAAGACTGCCAAAGAAACCAGATTTTCAATTACATACAAGTATAATGCATGCATGCAACTCACAATTTGATAATGTCAAGATCATTCTACTTGATTGAAAAGATACATAGTAAAGGAGAAGTGAAATGGCTACCTGCCGCGCTTCAAGATTTGAAACTGCCATGGCACCAACATATGGGAGAGACTCAATTACAGCATCTGCCAAATCTGAAATGAAGGTGGGTTCACATCCTAGAGCAGGAACACGACCCCAGTTTTTTATACCAGATTCTAGAGCCAATTCTTTGTATTCGACATCAATTTCTTCTAGTGTTTCAATATGCTCACTGACAAAGCTGTGAATCAAGCACATAAATGACAGAACAGTATGAGATGAAGAAAGAAGCCAGAAAGTATAAAGATAGGAGCAAGGTAATATCACAAAAACGGAAGGCTAATATTACCTAATTGGCACAGCCAGCAGACTTTTCACTCCCTTCTTTCCAAGATCAATTATCGTCTCATCCGTATAAGGTTTCAACCATTCCACTGGTCCAACTCTACTCTGTAACAATGATTACACTAGAATCTCAGAGTCACAAATCATGCTTTGAGGGTAGGATGACAAAGCTAGGTCTACAAATAGACTACTCAGGAAAAGATAAAACAATCTACACCACCACTTTGACTTGGTTGAGAATTTAACGTTATGCAAGAAAGCTGCCCTGAGTAGTATTTGAAGGGTCCTGAGATTTTTCTCAAAAGGTAGTCAGGTAGACTACTCGCAAAGAGCTTTCCACATGTGACTAAATCATGCTAACAGCTAGAAAATAATGGCCCAAGATTGCTCATTCTGAAAATAGCTTTCAATTCGTGAGTCCAGTTGAGGACTACAAACTAGCAACATAAAGCATAACAAGAAACAATAAGTATTTAGATTAACTCTTTGCTCTCGAAATTTTAAACGCTAGCAAAATTCCCGTTCTTATAGTTAGAATTTCCATACCATATTTCATATATTTAGATAAATACAGGCCAGGAAGCATGCAACGTTTCATAGCATAAACCAATACTGCCTATTGGTTTATATGAAATAAGACCTACAAGAGATCGAATGACCCATGACCCAAGGTACCTGATACGCGAGGGTGTAGGAATTAGTTATGTTCCTTTTCTCTAGTTCTTCCATAATCAAATCCACACATTCCTCCATCTCTGCCTTGTATGGGTCACCAGCCTCTTCCACATATGCAAGTGGAACTCCATGCGCACTAAAGAATATCACCACCTGTTATCAGAATTTCAATTACTAAGGATAACAGGGATACAGGCAGACAATCAAATGACTCCCAAGCACAAGCACAAGCATAACAAGAATTCCTCAGGAAAAACTTACGACGACGAGTAAGGAAATAAGAGAACAACCATATTTTGTTGATAGGCACAATTTTTTCTCATAAAAAACCAACCAAAAGGTTAGCATATTGCATTTCAGAATATCTCGAACACCTCAAAAGGCCATGTTACAATTCGTACTGTTATCAGCTACCAGTGTCCAGTATGGCTGTTATGAGTTACTAGTACGGCTGTTATTTTAACCAGAAATAGACAAGGCATTTTAACTACATAAATTAGGATGTCATTATGTCAATAAAATATGAGAATGCTAACAGGAAAAAAATCACTATACCCAGACATAACTGAGATGTTGGCTACATAAATTATGCTGTCATTATTTCAGTAATATCAGAATGCTAACAGAAAATATAACACAGCTCACCCAGGCATAACTACGATGTTGACTACATAAATTACGCTGTCAATATTTCAACAAAATATGACAATGCTAACAGAAAAAATACCACAGAACATAGTCCTTTCATCTGAATCACTAAATCATAAAAGATACAGTACCTCCTTAGGGTTGTCAAAACTATTTAACTCGTTTTCAATCAAATTTGCCATGGCCTTTATGTATCCTTCACGCTGGTACCATGAAGGAATTACAGTGTGCTGCATGTTGACTAGATACTCATCCTCACTGAAGAATAGTTTAATATTTAATAATTTACAATTATAACAGAATGTCAGTCTATATCTTTGGTGTATCATGATGTGATAACAAATTTTCTAGTGGTTACCGGAATATACTCTCCAGAAGACGTAAGCTCGAACCGCTGGTTGATATTGAAAATTGTGGATAAAGTGGAAGAACAACAAGCTTTGTAATTCCATCCCTTTTAATCTACACAGTATATTTTGAAGGGGGGGAATACTATAATCAAACAGAAATGAAATCCCAAAAAGAAAAGTACAAATAAAATTGTGTTGGTTACTTTGGCAAAGTAGAATAGGACTTCATATTATTTTGAACTAGATTGAATCATTCTGAAAAATAATTAAGCATAGAACTCAGATATAAGGTATCAACAAAGGAATATCAATATGGCGAAAAGCAATAGCTGCATCAAAGCCATCAAAGTTTATATATACCTAATGTTCAACCAGTTAATATTTGAGTTAAAACTTAAGAGTATATCAAGCAACATGTGATGACATCATATGTAAAAAATTTTACGGGCTTTCCCTTTAAAAGATGAATCTTGCAGCAACAAGTTTTAACTTAGATATATAACAATAAAAAGGTAGAAGATTCAAAAGTAGCAAACATTCAATAAAATGTTGTTCAGTGTTTATTTTGTCATCTAAAATCAAGTTAACCAATACCTGTTCAATAGCTTCTTCAGTGAATGGATGCCAGTAACGCATGCCAACATAAACCTTTGCAGGAACATTTTTTGCCCAAAGAGATTTTCTCAACTCTTCAGCCTGCGGAAGATAGCATTAAACACGTAGATAATGTTCAATTTCATTGGTAAGGATTTGAACATCGTTCTCTCCACAGATTGGTTAAAAATTCAAAAGTTTACTTGAAATGGCAGGAAAGAATTAATTGAAATATAGATGAGATTACAAAAAAAAAAAAAAAAAAATTGAAAGTACACAAATCAACAATTTTAAATTTGTCATGAGAGAAGTGATTCAGCCTCAATAATAAATGCACGTAAGAAAGCTTAACTTCAACAGTGAGGAGCTTGGAGAATAAAAGTTCAAAGCTGACTTCTTTAGTAAGCTCTACAATTCTTCACCATCAACTATTGTGCTTGTGTATCACTTTATAAATTATTAATACTTTGAAAACTGAAGAAAGATCAACCACATACATTAGGCATATGAACAATCTTACCAACATATATAGTTCACTCATTGATAAACTGAAATTTCAAGTTCTCCAGACTCCAATGCAGCATTTGACAAGTTCAGAGTAAAGCAATAGTAATTACTAATTACTTTTACTAATTAAGATGAAAATCATGTTTTCTGAGTGCCATGCCTGTGCATCAGTTATACGTCTAAGAGGAGAGCCACCACCAATTGAAGCATAGCCTTCTTTGCTCTTTGGTGCTCTTAAAACAGACACAAATTGG